AGTGCACCATGGCTTTTCTTTTTTTCTTTTTTTCTTTTTCTTTTTTTCTTTTTTTTTGAGAGGTTTTCGCTATAGGGCGTGTGCACTCACCAGACAGACAGAGAGAGAGAAACAGAGAGACAGAAAGCAAGAAATCACCCCCCAGGGAGGATGGTCACACCACAATCCCTTCTCCATTCTCCTCTTGGGATCTTGGGCATGCACGCGCCCAGCGTGAGTTTTAAGCCACCGAGTCCAGGACGTGAACCGCAGTCAACTATGTGGGAGTCCAGCAACATAGCCATTACGCTAACTCACCATGCCACCTGCCGACCTCTCACTGATCATTTGTTATGTGTTGTGCTTTTGCTTTTTGTTGTTGGTTTTTGAGAGAGAGAGTTTTGTTATAGGGCGTGTGTGCTCACCCATAAACAGAGAGAAAGTGAGAAATCACCCCCTGGGGGCAAAGCCATGCCATAACCCCTTTTCCTGTTGGGATTTTGGGCGCGTGCGCACACATGCCTGGTGTGTCTCAGGCCACTGAGTTCAGAGCCAGCCACAGTTGCCCCGTGGGGCCCAGCACCACACACATGCCCGGTGTGTCTCAGGCCATAGAGTTCAGAGCCACAGTTGCCCTGTGGGGCCCAGTACCACACACATGCCCGGTGTGTCTCAGGCCATCGAGTTCAGAGCCACAGTTGCCCTGTGGGGTCCAGCACCTAACCACTGCGCCATCTGCTGGCCCTACTGATGGCTCTATATTAAGTTATAGTCTGGGATTTGCTTTGAAATTTTATTTTAATTTTTTTTTCATAGGGTGTGTGTGCCTCACCAGAGAGCACAAGCGAGAGAGAAAGTGAGCTCACCTCCTAGGGGGATGGCCATGTTGCAGTTCCCCCTTCTCCATTTTCCTCCAGTGATTTTGGGCATGCACCCACATGCACCTGGTGAGATTTTTCAAGCCACCGGATCCAGTACTCAAACTGCAGCTGTCCATGTGGGAGTCCAGTGCCACACGCAGCATGCTACCTGCTGACCCCCACAAAGCCTGTTTTCTAAGAAAGAGCTGAATATCTCATAGTATTTGTTGAGTACTGAAGGTGAAAATCAGAATGGATGTGTGGGTGCTCAAGGTTAGGTTTCTACTGAATGAGTATTGCTTTTGTAAGAAACTTTTTTTTTTTTTTGAGAGGTTTTTGCTATAGGGCGCGTGCGCTCACCAGACACAGAGACAGAAAGCAAGAAATCACCCCCCAGGGGGGATGGCCATGCCGCAATCCCTTCTCCTCCACTCTCCTCTCGGGATCTTGGGCACGCACGCACACGCGCCCGGCGTGAGTTCTAAGCCACTGGGTCTGGGACGTGAACCTTGGTCGACTACGTGGGAGTCCAGCGACATAGCCATCACGCTAACTGCTGGTTCCCTGTAAGAAACTTTTAAAATGCCTGAAAAGGAATTAAAATAATGATCCTAAGGAAACTCAGCAAGATAAACTCAGCACCAAAACCAGGAGAACAGCCAAGGTCGGATGAGAAGTGCAACGAGGGTAGGAGTCACTGGGAAGAGTCCAGGCCGTTCTCAAACCACAGAACTCAGTGAACGAAATTTTAAGGACATTTATCAGACTGCAAATTAAACTATTTTTAAAAACTATTATTTTTTAAAATTTTATTTATTCATTCTTTTTTTTTTTTTTTTTCATTTTATCAGAGACGGACAGACACACACAGAGACGGAGGTGGGGGATGAGAAAGCAAGCCACCAGGTCTAGGACTTGAACTGAGGTCAGCCATGTGGAAATGGACAATGCCTTAACCACCATGCCACCTGCTGGCTCCCCAACAAATTAAACTATTTTTAGTGCATGATGAAGAATGCGCACCTGAGCTAGGGGAGAGGGAGGAGGAAGCAACTCTTCAAGGTCTGTCCACCACAGTGCCCGTCTCCTGGCTCCTCGGAGCTTGCGTGTACATGCCTACCCGGACCTGGCGTTGGCTTCCAGCGCTGCAGTCCTGTGCACTACGGAGGTCCTAGGCTGGGCATAGAGGTGCAGATTAAAGGCAAGATTTTTAAATGCTCTTTAGGTGATACCCCTGACGGCAGAGGATCACCTGAAGTTCCTCTCCCACCCACCTAGGCTGTCCTCTACTGACTTCTGTAAGCTTCTCCCCAACTCTGGCTTTCTGTCCTGTGTTTGCCGGGGTTTGCTGCCACCGCTGACTGGTCATCTCTTCCTCCCATACATGTCTGTATTAGCCCAGTTCTTATTTCTGGTAATAGTTTCTACTTCCAGTTTGTCATAGCCCTAGAAATGGTGACCGGAATTTTGTATATGACAAATGAAGACGCAGAAGAGGGCCTGAGCGAGTCTCTGGTGGACTCGTGGGGGGTGCATGTACTTTCTTTAAACAGGGTCTTGCCATGTCCTGCTCTTCTCACCCTCTCCGGAGTGCAAATTGCAGGCACACACTATAGCACCTGGCCCTCCCATGTGGGCCCAGCGTGCGGCCAACGCAGCCACCGGGCCACATGTGCTTTCATTATTACGCATTTTGTCATTTCAGAGGCCCCTGTCTTTTTCTTCCTGGTTCCAAGCCCCCTCCTCCTTGGGCAGAGCCGCTGGGTAGATGAGTGGTTGGAGAGCCCGGGGCAGTGCATGCGTCCAACAGCACTGTGTTTATACCAAAGTTCTGTGCTTTAGAGCCTCCTGATGACACTGTCTCAATTTCTGTTAACACAAAGTAACTGGAATGAAGAGGTGAAGAGTAGTCTCTTAATTCCTGTAAGAGAGTTTTTTTTGTTTTGTTTTTTGTTTTTTTGTTTTTTGTTTTTTTTTGCGAGGCTTTTGCTTTAGCGTGTGTGCGCTCGCCAGACAGACAGAGAGAGACAGAAAGCGAGAAATTACCCCCCAGGGGGTATGGCCACGCTGCAATCCCTTCTCCGTTCTCCTCTCGGGATCTTGGGCACGCATGCACATGGGCCCGTCATGAGTTTTAAGCCACCAGGTCCGGGACGCGAACCGCGGTCAACTACATGGGAGTCCAGCCATTACACTAACTGCTAGTCCCAAGACTGTATTCTTATAGGACTTTGAACGATTTGTGACTTTTTCCTTGATTTGTAAATAGATTCTTTTTTGGGGGAGAGGTGTTTGCTGTATGATGTGTACATTCACCAGAAAGACAGAGACAGAGAGACAGAAAGGGAGAGATCACCCCCAGGGGGAATGGCCACACTGCAATCTCTTCTCCTCCATTCTCCTCTTGGGATTTTGGGCACAGTGCACACAAACCCACCCAGCGTGAGTTTAAGCCACTGGGTCTGGGACTCGCACCGCGGTCAATTACATGGAAGTCCAGCGACATAGCCATTACGCCAACTGCTGGTCCTGATTATTCTTTTGTTTAGAGAGAGAGCTTTTCTATAGGGTATGTGTGCTCTCCAGAGAGACACAGAGAGAGACAAGCAAGAAATTCCCTTGGAGGATGGCCATGCCACAGTCCCTTCCCTCTTCTAGTCTCCTCTTGAAATTTTGGGCATGTGTGCATATGCACCCGGCCTGAGTTTTAAGCCACGGGTCTGGGATTCAAACTGCAGTCCACTATGTGGGAGTCCAGTGACATAACCATTACACCATCTGCTGGTCCCCAGTTATTTTTTTTAAAACAACTTTGGGACAGCTGATGGCCTTGTGGTTAAGGTAGCTCTATCTCACATATCCAACTCTTTGATTCAAGGCCTGAACCAGGTGACTTGAAAACCATGCTGGGTGCGTGTCCATGTGTGTCCAGAACCCTGAGAGGAGAAATGGAGAAGGGATTGCAGTATGGCTGTACCCCGAGGGTACCTTCTTACTTCTCCTGTCCTCATGCTTTGCCTGTCCTCGGTGAGCACATGGACCCTCTAGCAGAATTAACAAGCAAAACAGAGCAGTAAAACAGCTCTGCTGAGATACCACTCCTGTACCATCGAGCCCCCTGGTCTAGAACGCACAGCACTCAACATGTGTGTGCCACAGCTCTAGCACCTTGTGACCCACGGGTCCCCGCACACACAGCCATCGCCCGGTCCCTGCAGTTCCACCTGCCAAGCCCCAGGCAGCCTCTCTCTCCACCTCTGCACTTGCGTTCGCCTCCTGGGAATGGGATTGTGCATGGTGGACGCCTGGGGCAGGCTGCCGTCATGGTGCGTGTCAGTACTTTCTTGGTTGTCGGACAATGTTCCAGTGGTGGGTAGACCCCGTTTACTCAAACCCATCACCAGTTGGGCACTTGCGCAATGTCGACTTTTTGACTCTGCCTCATAATGCTGCCGTGGACAGGTCTCCATCTCACGGGCATGCCTCGGAGTAGAGCTGCCACATTGTGTGCACCCCCTGTCGACCTTGAGGGACACTCAGGCTGTCCCCACGGCCCTTCGGTTCTCTGCCTCCTCACAGCCTGCTGACTCTTGGCATTGCTCGTGTGCTTTAGTATGGCCACCCTGGGGGTGCGTCTCATTGTGGGTTGGTTTGTTTTATAAGAAACATGCTTCCATTGTTTTTCCCCAGATTACTTTTTTTCACTTTTTTTCTTAAAGAATTATTTTTTATTTAACTTTATTTATTTATTTTTATTTGACCAGAGAGGGACAGAGAGGAAGAGAATATGAGAAAGCAAGCCGCCAGGCATGGGACTTGAACCACGATCGGCCACGTAAGAGTCCAGCGTCCTTAACCACCATGCCACCTGCCAGCCTTTTTTTCACTTTTTTAAAACAACTATTTATTTAACTTTATTTATCTATTTTTAATTTGACCAGAGAGGGACAGAGCGAGAGCAAGGGTGAGAGAGAGAGAGCGCGCGCGAGCTGCTGGGTCTGGAACTCGAACCGCGGTCGGCCCTGTGGGAGTCCAGCGCCCTTGACCACCTCACCTACCGCCCCCACAGGTTACCTTTTAATAGACAAGAATTGATACCTTTAAGGTCATGATAGTGTCTTTGCAGAGTTTTTAAATTGTTGGTTTCATGTTTTCTAACAGGCTAAGGAAATTTTAACAAAAGAATCAAATGTACAAGAGGTCCGCTGTCCTGTCACGGTCTGTGGAGATGTGCACGGGCAGTTCCACGACCTTATGGAGCTCTTCAGGATCGGTGGGAAGTCGCCAGACACGAACTATCTCTTCATGGGCGACTACGTGGACAGAGGCTATTACTCAGTGGAGACGGTGACTCTCCTCGTGGCGTTAAAGGTAGGGCTCCTGGGTCGCACCTTCTGTTCTCTTCCGTCATCCTTCCAGGCTGTTTGTAGCCCATAGAGATAACAGTAGGATTTATCTCTTTTTAGAAAGACAAAATCATGCATAAACTACTGCCTCCTTTGGTGAATGTAGCATTCTCTGGGGTCTCCAAAGCAGAAGTTTAGAATAGTTACTTTGTTCTTTTATTGCCAAAGTGTGCTCTCCACAGGAGGTAGGGGAGAGGCCCCAGGAGGTGGAGTCTCGCTGTAGTCTGTTTGGTTCATCCACAGGTGCTGCAGCCCCAGAATCCTTTCTTTTTTTTTTAAACTTAATCACTTATCCTTTGTAGTGAGTCTATACACAAATCTTTTTTTTAATTCTGGCCTTGTGTTTTACTTCCACCACACAATTGATCACTCACGCCCTCATTATTGCGATGGCATGGTAACTAGCGTTTCTCCCTTGCAAGGTCTGACCCTGAGGCCCTCCCTGCACTCACTGCCATTTTGGCGTCTCCCGTTTAATACGCATGCCCGTAGCCTCCCTGGTCCCGGTCTCAGCAACTCTGCGCTGTCTGCTGTCACGTTTGCGGCCTCTGAAATCTAGTCTGAATCTACCGCCAAGAGCCGCTCGCATGTACCCTGCCTCAGCCCAGACCATTTGCTATCCCGTGCTTCAGGCTGGCTCCTTCGGTCCCTTTGCCACCGTCCCCACAGGATTGCCCTGCCCTGATCTCGTCCCTCAGCTAAGACTCAGTTCAGGTCTCACTGCTAGCCTCACTCCCGCTCTAGACGATTTCTCTCTTATTTACATGACAGAGTAGCTTTATCACTCTGCATTTCTTACCCAGGTCACACTGCTCCTTAGGGTGTCACAGAGAGGTGGGGCATTATGCTTGTGGGCCTGGCACCAAGCTGCATAGCACCCAGCTCAGCGATGGACACCAGTGCGCCTCCTCAGGGAATGCAGGCGTTAAGTGCGTGCAGCAAAGCAGGAGTTGGAGAGTCTGATGCTTTCCATCAGACGCACCCTAGCTAGTGGCGTACCTTCATGTTTTGACATAAAAGGAGACTTAGTACACTTGAGACCTCGCCCAGAGTCTGCAAGGGCCTGCTTTTCTGCTTTCAGTGGCAGATACGGTCTTCCCTGCGGAAAAGCAAAGTTAAGGAGAGCAGTCAGGCAGTCGCAGGCCCTGTCCCGAGCCCACTCCTCTGGTCTTCGGTGTCCATTCAGTAAGAAGACGCAGCTTTCCGGAAGAGTTCGGAAGACGAGTGGTAGTTAAAGGGTGGAGAGATGAATGAAAGATCGGGTACAAGTTTATCATCGTAGCAGAGACGCCAAGCTTCCAAAGAAGGTGGTCTAAATATTGTGGAGAAGGACAATTATAAAAAACATTTCAAAGGTTAATCAACAGGACCTGGTTATGAATGAGAAAGATTGTTACCCTGAAAATACATAATGTTTAACACTAGTAGACAAAAGTACCAGTTAAAGAAATGGGTCAGTGTTTACCGTGACCCTCGTGAAAACGCGATGGTCCCGTGGGTCTCTTCTGTTCTTGCAGGTGCGTTACCCAGAGCGCATCACGATCCTGAGGGGGAACCACGAGAGCCGACAGATCACACAGGTGTACGGCTTCTACGACGAGTGTTTGCGCAAGTACGGGAACGCAAACGTGTGGAAGTGCTTCACAGACCTGTTCGACTACCTTCCGCTCACGGCGCTGGTGGACGGGCAGGTACGTGTGTCCCCTCCTGGGGGAGGGTTAGGGTTGTTAGTAAGTCGCGATGAGAGTGGGAGGGGTGTTGCTGCATCTCT